ATCTGTTTAGTTCAGCTTGGAGTTCAGGATTCCCAGGTCAGTGGGGTTGATCTCAGTAGGTTTTTACTTTGGAGTAAAAATACTCTTGGAGGCTGAGTTTGTGGAACGACTTACGAAAAAATGTTTTTTGTGGAACAACAAATTAAATGCCCGCCATCTCTCACCTTCAGTGTGGTTGATTTGGAGAATTAGGCTATGGATCTTGGAGTCACTCCAAGTATTTTCTAAGCCAGAGGTTCTAGCCCTGTATTTGACAGCTATGGTCACTTGTTATTTTGCTCATTAATTCATCCAACGGCATTTTTCAACCTATGTAAAAGCTTACATATTGCAAAAATATTGCAATTTACATTACATTACATTTCACAATTTACAATTAGAAATTATATTGCAAAATCTTGCAAAAATCCCTGTAATTGGTAGGAAGTTCAGTGTTGGTGGTTTAACCATGTTTGTTTTGCCCCTGTCTTCTGATACTATTTCACATTTCCCCCTCTTACTTATTTATTCATTTTATTTAAAGGCACAGAATTATAGAATCATAGAATGGTTTGGGTTGATCATTCAGTTTTCAGCACCCTTGCCAAGGGCAGGGACATGTTGCACTAGACTAGGGTGCTCAAAGCCCCATCCAACCTGGCCTTGAATGCTTCCAGAGATGGGGCAGCCGCAGCTTCCCTAGGCAACCTGTTCCAGTGCCTCACCACCCTTGTACTGAAGAATTTCTTCATAATATCTAATATAAATCTACCCTCTTCAGTTTAAAGCCATTTTCCCTTGTCCTGTCACTACATGCCCTAATAAAAGGCCCCTCTCCAGATTTCTTGTAGGTCTCCTTTAGGTACTACAAGGCTGTTATGAGGTCTCACCTGAGCTTTTTCTTCTTCTGAACTAGCCCAACTCTCTCAGCCTGTCTTCATAGCAGAGGTGTACCAGCCCTATGAGCATCTTCATGGCCCTCCTCTAGACTCATTCCAACAGGTTCATGTCCTGAATAATCACATATAATACTAATTTGTCTACTCACCTATGATTCATAAAATGGCAAGTTAGAGCAAGAAGACTACGTAACAGTAGAGTTACAGAATGTAGACTTTATATATTTTCCATTTATCTGGGCAATAAAACTTTCCTTAGGCAAAACACAAACACCAATAACTTCCTATTGGTTCACTGATTTTACTGAAGCTTTTGGAAGTTGTCAGTTCTATGTAAATATAAAATACCAGTAATATAAACACTCAGGAATAGAAACGTTTTGAACGTACACTTCAGACTGATTTATTTTTCTCAGAACTTATAAATAGTGGTGTATTGTATTATTATTCAAATAAATGATGATGTTATGCACAGTGATTGCATCAGAGTGACGTTATAATATGTGTGCTCAAAGAGTCAACCTGTGTTGTGGTTACGCTCTTAGCAGCAGAAGTAGTAACAGCAAGGAGGACAGGCGTGTAGTGGCTCTGTGATTTACTTGATGCATTAGCTGCAGTGATGTACAGCAGTAGGTTAGGGGCCAGCAAACAAGCTGTAAAATGATTCGATATGAAAGGAACAAGAGCCGTGTGAAAATATACTCTAGTGTCTGATCGAAAACTGGTTCTTCTTGGGTGAAAAAGAAAATTTCAGCAAATACTTCAGTGTAAGTGCTGAGGTACTGTTAGTACATCTGCTTAATGTGTACAAGTTCTGATACTGCTAGTGAAGGTTCTTTTTGTTACATTTAGTAGAATTTGTATGTATATGTGCACCATCTAAATAGTAAGTACTGATAAAAGCAATTTGATGGTTTTATGACTCAACATATAAATTTGCTTTATTTGGGTTGTTTTAAAGAAGTTCTTTCACAATCAGCAAGTAAAAGGTGAGAAATCAGATGGTATTGCACAGAATCCACAGTACTGTATATGTATACATATGTTTGCACACCCATGGAAATGTAATGGAAATACTATACTTTGTAATCAAGGAATAAATAGATGAAGTGGATAAAAGTTAAAACTTACGAAATGAGTTGAATATTGGATTCTAAGACTTTGTGATATTTAAGCATATTTTGTGCGGTACAATAGATAGCCTAATTTATTTCCCTTCCTAAATAAAATTACCATCAAATTATGTATCCATCTAACTATCCATTTATTCATATGTTTAGACCCATATCCAAGCCCTGCCCCTGTAATCACAGAAGAATGTCAGTCAATAGTGAATTTATTTGAAGGCCTTTTCTAGTAATGCATACACCATGAGTAATTTTACCCAATATAAATCTTATTCTTCAAAAGGTCAGGTAAATCTTATTCTTCAAAAGGTCAGGAAAGTGTAGAAAATAGACAGTTATGAGATGAATGACTAGCCCTTGCTTCCTCTCCTATTTCAGTTAGGCTTCTGAAAAAAACTAATTCTTTTTGAGAAATTACTAAGGTTATGTGTTGAGGGATCTGTTAAGAGCTTGTATTTACAAAGGATTGAGCCTCCAACATAATTCTATGCTGCAGTTGCTTCCCTAGTTACTGAAGTAGGAACCGGAGACACTGAAACACTCCCTCCCATAGCACATGGTTCAGTCACTTCTCATCAGAGAGCAGTAGTCTCTGATAAAAAATTACTGGTTAAATAAGCAAGTTTTTCTAAAACTGTTTTCTCTGTTCTGTCTTCACAAAGTAACTCCTGTTACTAAAAGTTACAGACTGAATATTTTAGAGGAACGTTTGAAAAGATTAGAGAAACTGCAAAACTGTGTTTTGCTAGCCTTAATTTGTACTCTAGTGGCTCATATCTGCAGAGCTGAGGACTTGGTCCCAAATTCAGATCTGCTTCAAACTACAGCAAGCTGGTGTAGAGTTGTGCTTCATGCTGCGCTGGTGATGCGGAATATCCCTGCTGTGTGCTGGCAGCCTAATTAATGCCTATGGTCCTTATATTGTTGGAATCATTTAATCTAATTTGAGTAACAGTTGGAATACTTCCAAAAATATTTTTTTAGAGATTATAAGGTTTATTCCTGATTATATTACAAATACATCAAATGTCAAATATTCTTCAGAAATATAAATGTGCTGATCTCTCCAAGGATATTTAATAATAATGTATAGACTAGTAGGGATTTAAGTGGACTGTAATATAGTTTTTAATTTAAGGAATAAAATCAATTTATAACCTTTGACCTATGGCCAATCTCAGCCTTGGCTCAGTTTTGCAAGATAATTTGCCCAAATCCTTTCCTCTACACAAGTCCTGCTTCTCCAAATTAAATTGCTGAGTTTTGGCCTGGGTCCCACTGTCAGAAAACCTCTTAATACTTGTTCATTCTGCTCCTCTTGCACTCTGTGTTAAAAAGCCTACCTAGTGTGATAATTTTATGTTCCTAAAAAAACAGGAAAATCTCTGCAGTTCTTTCAATAAACAGGGGTGATGTTGGGGGCCTTTTATGTTGTTTTTTTTTTAAACCCGCATTTGAAAGTGTCATAATATGTGCTGCCAGCCAGATGAGCTGCTGAAACAAGCACTTCTGGCACCATGCTTCCTACTAGGTGTCTTCCTATAATCCCTCAGATTAGTAGGCAAGGTTCTGAAAATGCTGAAGAAGAGAAACAGAGAAAGTGAAAGGTGTGAGCCACTGAATAAATATGAGGGGAGAGTGCACTAACAAGGGAGTCAACAGAGTTATCCTGTAAGTAGAAAGACAGTGCCAGAGGTAACAAGATGAAAAGAAGTGATAGTTTTCCTCTTCCAAATACCCATCTGCAAATGCTGGTAGCCAAATTACCACCAAATCTATTTCCCAGGAATTCTGTTCACTCAGGAGAAGAGACCCAGGTTTTAACTTGGCAATTGGATTTCCTGATAAGAAAATTACAGTAAAAATAATTTGTCCATCATTGCTTCGTGTCCAATTTATGCAGACTCAAGGGATTTCAGAAAGACAGCACAAGAGAAATAGATCCATATAATCAAATAAAGTCTGCAATTCAATCGGTACTCTATTAATAAATATTTTAAAAGGGTGGCATGTTTTACATGTATTTGGGTCTTCCTAAATCTGGGATTTCTTGCATAACTGCGTGAAGGAAAACTTTTTTTGTTACTAAATAAGGGATTTGGTTCATGGAAAACCCCAGCAGACTGAGTGATATGAGCAAATAACAAGAAAAAGTTGTGTTCTTACATCTGGTAGATTTATAGAAGTGTGGAATTGAAGTCTTGAGTCTATTTTAGGAACATATTTAATTACAGGCTTTTTCTAGATAAATTGATGTCCTCAATTCAGTACTTTTTAATACTTTTTCTATTTTACAAAAGAAATACATTTTTCTAACTTTTGAACAACTAAAACTAGTAAAAAGTGAATCGCAATCCAATCTTGTATAATATCTTTGCTACTATGATTTTGTTAGCCTAACTTCAACAGATATACAGATCTCCACACAGAGAAATTTATTCTTTTTAATACTTTTATTGCACTGGAACAACATGAGGAGCATGCATACAGGGTATTCATTGAAATGCATTTACCATAGCATTGATAAGTAATATTGTTTACTTTGCATGTAAGTATCAAAACATTTTTTGTACCATTTTCAAGGACAGATCAGATGGACCACTGGTGTTCTCAGTTACAGCAGCAACCCATCTTTCTACAGATGTTCACGTCAGCCAGTTTTAAGACATCTCCTCAGGATTTTGTAACTCATTGGTTATACTTCCATCCACCATAGCTGTGACATCTTTGTAGAAAAATCTTCTCTTGCCTTCACTTGAATATCTTGCATTTGCGTATGTTTTGTGTTCTGGAACATGAACAGCATGAGAGAGAGAAGATACCTTCTGTGCTCAGCTTCACAGTGCCTTCAGTATGTCTACAAGAGAAGACATTTAGTGATGTGCTGAGTCAGTTCTACAGACAACTCCTGCTCCTGTTTTGTTAGCTGTTCACCTGTCCATACTTGTTTTGCTTCAGTCTGCCGGCTTGTTACCTTGTATTAATTTTGTTGTAGGAAGCTTTTGGACACTGAGGATGAGCTCTCTGACATCCATTCGGATTCAGTCCCGCTGGAAGTGCGGGACTGGTTAGCTTCTACGTTCACAAGGGAAATGGGAATAGTAAGAAGGAGACATGAAGAAAAGCCCAAATTCCGAAGCATTGTGCACGCTGTACAGGCTGGGATTTTTGTAGAAAGGTGAGAACTTTATTTTCCTGTTACAGCAAGTACTGCATTTAACCACAGTGCCTGTCACTGAAGATCCCTTAAGTGGTGGGATGAACCTGAAGCAAATCTTTGAGCCAAAATTTACATTTTAATTTCTGCAGCTGCTCAATTTTTCTATACAGAAATCCAAATGAACTTCTAAATTTGTAATGAAATCTCCTGAACTTTGGAAAATTCTGGGAATTAACTTGATGGCTTTGAAACTTCTACGCTAAAATGCGCCAAAGACTGCACTAACGTGAAAGAGTAATATACCATCAGAGGGGCTTTTCTCCTAAGTCGATAAAAAGATTTATGTCACCTCTGGGATCAGACCCTCAAATAGCCTAGTGTTATTTCACAAACTCTGAAAGATGAATTTCAAAAAAGATAAATTGTTCTAGTAATTTTTAAAGGAGCGCTCTTCCTTTATATTTTATTTGCTCTTTTTAGGATGTACCGAAGAACTTCTAGCATGGTTGGTTTGGCTTACCCAGCAGATGTGATAGTAACATTTAAGGTAAAATAATTCTAATCATTGTGGAATTTGAATGTATCTGTACATATGTTTAGTGATTTTTAGGGTTAGTTAGTGTATTTTTCTGCTGAACATACCCTAGACATAGTACTACAGAACTGATCACACAGAACAGAGAAATTAATAGTTAAAAATTAAAAAAATAGCATATAATTCTGTTTATTGTTTCACTGATTAAGTGTGATTTCATTACAGATGCTATTAGAGCAATAGGATGAAATTTGTATAAAAATTTGTACAGAAATGTGAGACAGTTTTATCTGCTTCCAGTGATATGGTAATCAGCATCTCAGCAGCATTTGTTTCCTTATTAGGAAAGGAAAAGGAGCAGTAGTATTGGGATAGAGCTAACAGAAGAAGCTGCAGCTTATGGAACAAGTATAGTATTTGTTGTGAATTAAAAGCATTACTGTAGTTCAGCCAAAAGGCAATCTTTTATAGCAGTCAAGTTCCTATGGCTATGTACAATTAGAAAATGCTGTTTGTTGAGAATGTAGTATTTCACCTTTTCTCCTAAAAGTTAAACGCTGTTATATTGTTCTCAAATTGCTGTATGACTATAGAGTTAATGACATTGCGTAATAGCCTGTTAAAAGATTGGGTGTTCACATTAGCTCTATGAGGTTCCATAGGCAATTTGTGCGGAGAAAGTTAAATTTGAAAGATTAAGGCTTACAGAGTTGCGTAGGTCATGTTACAAGTATTTTATTCATAACTGGCACAATGACTTTCATTGTTAATACTGAAATAGTCATTATCTACAGTAGAAGTTTCAAAGAGTTAGACGATAGAAAAACACCCAAACTCTCCATCTTCCCTCCAAAAAACCCCAAAATGTCTTTCCCAGTGATTAACTGGAAACCTGCTTAAACAGATGGAAATTATATGTTTGGTTTTGTTTTTTTTTTCTTTTCCCTTCACCTACAGGATGTTGATAAATGGTCTTTTGACGTATTTGCCCTAAATGAAGCAAGTGGAGAGCACAGTCTGAAGTTTATGATGTATGAGCTGTTTACCCGATATGACCTTTTGAGCCGTTTCAAGGTCAGAAACTAGCCACAAATAAAACTATGTATGCAAGTATAAGTATGTCAAATTTAAAATACAAGAAAGATAGGATATGTTTGAAATGGTTTTTTTTGTACAATGCAGTGGAGAATTTCAAAGAATAAGGCAAATCAAACATTGTAATATGCCAATAGTTCTACCAAATGGAACTTCACACAGAGCATGCAAGTTTTTCTGCAACCCAAAAAATGGAAATCTGTGTAGTCCCATGTCAAGTCAGTTTGTTACGGGATGTTGCTAGTGGGCAGTTAGACGCTGTAAGTATCAAATAAGTGGAGTATGCAAACAGCCTATTTATTCAGTACTGGATCAGTATCCCAGCTTCATGAAACAAAGATTCCTAATAAAACAGGAAACTTTAGTTAATCCTGAGTACTTTTTTCATGGCCTAGATCATAGTATGTTACCCACCACTGCAGGGGTTTCAGCAGAACCTTCCTTTTCTAACCAGCTTCACAATATATAAGGAGAATATATAAGGAGAACTTTTCAGTGGTGTCTGCAGGGTGTTGGAATACAATATGAAGTACTTACAAACAACTTCAAAAGGCTGAGATAAAAAATGGATCAAAATGCTGAATTTATCATAATAGTACCAAATGAATGTTTCATTATAGTTTCAAAATCTCTCCACTGCAAAACTCCATTCTTCTTTCAAAAAGGCTGACTCACCCTGAAGTCAATTCCAATATTTTAATGTTAACAAATAATCCATCAAATATTTTAACAAATATCCCATCAAGATTTTCCCTTCAAGCTCTGGGTGCTTGAAGTCAGAACCATACCAGGGCTACCATTAACAGCACGGTCAGAAAGTACATGATATTACTGTCTCAGCGTGCTTAAGCCCATTCTCAGTCCCACTTTTTAGTTTACCTTTTAGTTACCTTTATTAGTTTTAGTTTACCTTGTAGGAGTTTTAAATGAAGAAAAAAATCTTAAGGAAAGTATAATTTCATTATATGTGGGTTGTGGCTGAACCCCAGCTAGCAACTAAGCCCTGCAGAGCTGCTTGCTCACTCCCCAGCAGAATGGAGAAGAGAATTGGAAGGGTAAAAGTGAGAAAATACATGGCTTGAGATGAGAACAGTTTAAGAATTTAATAATAATAATAATAGAAATAAAACTAAGGAAAGACAAGTGATGACAATGAAAACAATTGCTCACCACCAAATGACTGATGTCTTTGAGCAGCAGCCCCCTGGCCAAGCTTCCCCCCTAGTTTTATTGCTGAGCATAGTCATGCACTATAGTATATATATCCCTTTGGTCAGTTGGGGTCAACTGTCCCAGCCGTGTCCCCTCCAAACTTCTCATACACCCTCAGCCTACTTTCTGGTGGGGTTTTATGAGAGGCAGAAAAGTCCTTGACTCCGTGTGAGCACTGCTCAGCAATAGCTAAAACATTGCTGTGTTACCAACAGTGTTAGCACAAATCCAAACTGCAGCCTCATACTAGCTGCTATGAAGAAAAATGTAGCTCAGCCAAAACCAGCAAAATGGGAAAATAAATGGGACTGTTGAATAATAAGTTGTCGGGAGGAAAAGAAGGAAGGGAATTTGTACTATCAGATTTAAGGAAATCTTGTCTCAGGCAAGGTAAAATTGGTGAAGAAAAGAGGATAATCCTATTATTAGACTCCTGTCTGTCATACCTTTATTATATGAGCAATTGGTGATCCTTCATCCTAGAGACGTGCCCTGCCCAGCGCAGCTGCAATATGGCCTCGATACTGGTGACCCCTGCCTGAGGGTCACCGCCTCCCTACGATCGTGTTTTACAGTGAACTTGCCACCGGTAGCCACAAGAGAAGTGCCCCAAAGAAGAGATACAAGGACTCCCTGAACAATACCTTAGCCTTGGCCATATTGACTACCATCAGTGGTCCACCTTGGCCTCGAATCGGGAGACTTGGAGACACACCATACATAATGCCGTTGACTCCTTTGAGAACTCACCCAGTACTAGTCTCGGGGAGAAAAGACAACATAGAAAGAATCGCGCCCCGCCTATACCACCCGAGGAGACCTTTCGCTGTGCCTTTTGCAGCTGGATTTCCCTATCTCACATTGGCCTTTTTAGTCATCAGCACGCTTGTAGTAAGCGTGGGTAAAGCCCTTCCCAAATCTTCGTTCGGAAGTCAAGCCATGATGATATGAGCAATCTATGCATTCCTGGTACAGACAGACAAGTCTTAAAAACTATTTGCTTGATAGCTCTGCTGTCTCTTGTACACTAACCACATGCTATGCATGGTGTATGTAGAGGTATATTAGATCTACAAGATTTGGGTGAAGAGTCCCTGATGTGTATGAAATATTATGTCTTTACATTTTAATTTTTTCTTTTGTTGTTTCTTAACCGAGTTCTATGGTACATTTATTTGTAATTTATTTCTTGCATGATTAATTTTGCAGCTGTTGCAGGAAAAAACAATAATTTTAATTTTTACTTCTCCCCAGATCCCTGTTCCCAATCTTATTTCATTTGCTGAAGCTCTTGAACTTGGTTATAGCAAATACAAAAACCCGTATCACAATCTGATCCATGCAGCTGACGTTACTCAAACTGTGCATTACATAATGATTCACACTGGTATCATGGTAAGAAATACTGCAAAGTTCAATCTACTTCTTTTCTCAAACCCTGCTGTTTAGAATAAATGTGTATGTGTGCCTTTTCTTCAGGAAAAAGCTCTCTTGAAAACTGTGCAGGGATAGATTCTGAGCTACCATCCAGGCTGTGAAATTTATGTCATTTCGACAGTTCTTCCAGGCTAAATTCTGCTGGTGCAGAGGAAAATAGGAGGAAAAAAATTCCTCCTTAAATTCTTTTTGCTTTGAATTGCCTTAGCTTGAGTATTACATATCATACTAAAACAGATACATTTGCAGGAGTGGCAGATGAGAATTTTTCGCTTCCACATCAGAGCCTGGGAGGTGTGAAGAGGCAAGCAAGCTTTAGTATCTGCTGAGGTGTTGGCCATTGAAAGATATACTGAATCAGTGTAGGCTTACTCAAGTACTCTGCAGCTGCTTTTTCTTTTAGTTTATAACCGTATTTAGGATTGTTCTTGCATACTTTATGTCCCTATAGTAGGTAGAGAACTGCATTTGCCTTGTACTGTTGAAATATCCCGATACTTTTTAGTATTTGCTTTGGGAACTGAAGTGAGTCTGTGCAAGCATTTTTACTCTAAACACTTAGATCTAATACCAGCAGTGGGAGTATCCTCACTGTCAGCTTGCTAGACATCTCAGTCAGTGGCCTTTTGATGTTTTGTCTTCACTCTGAATGCACTTGTTTCAAAAAAAAAAAAAAGGGTGGGAAGTGATAGTGCCTGATCTGTTGGCACAGCCATGAAAAAAATTCTGCAAGACTTGGGTAGAAAAGTTCTAAGGACTGATTCTAGATGTTTGTGCTCTAATATATCCACAATGAATGATAGTCATTCACTTATATTAAGCCTTTTTTCAGTGAAATCTTTGCCTTTGGCTTCAGTGGAGGCAAGAATGAGTCCCTAATCATTGCAGGCTTTGATTCTACTGTTTGAAGGAAGTCTTTTGCTTCTAAGCATAAAGTTTTTAAAGCTACATTTTAACAGAAGTACAGAGTGCAGAATGAACCCTGGAGTCTTTGGCCAGCCAAGATTCCTTTCCACATTGAGATGATTTCTTGAGAAAGGACTTCCATATCAGACTGAAGCACAGCTCTTGCCAAGATGACTCCAAATCAAAGTTGTTGTGTATTGTATTCACTTATCAAAATAATATTTTAATAGAAGAAGAAGCTTGAACAGATTAAATCACATTTCCTATCCTATCCTTGTCTTCTACTGTAAGATCAGCTGCAAGTGATAAGTGAAGGAAATTCTTTCCTGTTAGGAGAACTATACTAGCCAATTGGGATGTTTAGCCATTGATTAAACAGCTTTACAAAACACGTTGTGTATCACTGAACACTGAATGAAGGAACCTGCTTCGTATTTGAATTATCTGCTATTCCATCGGGTGCACACAAGAATGAGAATGGTCTCTCCAACTCAAGTATAACATTATTAGCACCTTAACCATGTAACAGCACTTTGAAGTGATTTGGATAACTATTTTTGGAGAAGGTTAGGCTTTATTGGTGTTACTTTGCTGTAAAACCTTATTAATGTTCCCATGCTGCTACAAAATATTCCTCTAAAATTAGGCCAGGTTTTAAATATTCACATTTGAATTGTTGAATTATGGCATTGAAAAGTTCTTGGAAAGATATCTAACTAGGACAACACTTAGTGAAGAGTGCCTTCAAACAGATGCAGCTTGCCAGGGAAAAGGAACATTTATAGAAATCAGCGTTTGAAAGAGGGCCTAGTGATTCTGCAGCTTGCAAAGCATTTCTGTCCCAAATGTCATTTCCCTTTTGAGAATGCATCAATATCATGAATATGGTCTACTTAACTTGCTGGGTTTTTTTCCTGTTGCCTGGTTAACCCTATCGAATCCTACTCAATAACAATTTGAAGTTTGCTCCTCAGGCTAATAGTTTTCAGAGTATGTCCATTGTAATGCTTCCTTTAATTCTGCTGTACCCTCTAACAAACACCTGGATTGAAGTCAGTTTGATGCAGTTCTATATCAAATTCCTGTGGTATTTCTGCGGATTGGCATGCAATTCTTGTGCTTTCATTGTATCTTAAGAAACTGCTATTAACTCCCAAAGCTTCCAAAGAATTTCTGTCTTACTTGTTCACTTCTAAAAAATATACTCAAGCAAATGTTTCAAAAACGTGGGCTTTAGAAAATCCTTTTCATGATTCCTGTTGTTCAAATCATACATTTTGTATCTTTTATAGGCAGTCATGTTTCAGCGTTTGATCAGAGTTTGTGCTCCTCCGCAAGCCTTTATAGAGATTCCAGTGAAGAATAACATACATTCAGAGTCAAAGCTAAAGAAATAAAATAATCGTTGTATTTTCAGAAAGTTACTGTCTGTCTTAAGAAAGAAGATCCGACCACCTCAGATAAATGTGTTAGAAAGTTACACAGATGGCATACAATCTATTAACCTTCCCAAGAGATTAAATCCCAGATGATAAGACAGAAATATATAACTCAGGCTTGCATTTATGAAGTCTCCATCTTTCTAAAGATTTAAAAATCCAAGTTCCAGGGAATACATCTTGTAAAGAACTTTTGAGTCATCGATCATCTTCCCACCATCCCTTTTCTCCTCCCACATACCTGTATTGCTCAAACTAAAGGAAAAATGTCTTTACTGTCAATAAGTGCATTGTGAGACTCCATTTCTTAATCATTTTTTAATCCATCATTGTATAAAAAATTAGTTTGAACCAGAGCTCATTAAAAGTTTATCTATTTGCTTATAAGCAATTTATAATACTGGAAAATATCAATGGAAGAGATCTTTTCTTATAGGTGTTACACCTGCATGTCATAGTGTCTTCCAGGAGGGAAGCAGGTTCCAGCTTTTCACAGTCTTGCAGACCTTCAGATACCTGCTTTTCCTTCTGCCTTTGGGAAAAACATTTGTTAACTGTCTCTGACTTCCTTAGAAATTCTTTAGGTAAAGAGTAGTTCTCTAATTCTCTGATTTGAATACTGATCTGAATTACAGCTGTACAGCTACAGTCTCTAGAATACTTGCTCTTATATACTACCATATGAAGCGTCTGTGTAGCCTATAGAAATTGTTTGTAAGGAATGCTTTTCTTCTTACAAATGCATTGTATAGCAACTAGTTTGGTTGCTTTAAAAGCTGATTGTTGAAAGGCATCTTAAAGGAAAAGTTTATGTTTAGCTTTAGTTACTAATAATTTCTGTGTTTCTATTCTATTTGGCATGTTGAAAACATTGTGAAAGCGAGGACTGGTCATGGCCTGATTTCTTGTGACACACAATGCGATGAAGGTCATCGTTTCCATTTTTAGATCTGCTTACAGTACATTCTCATTCCTCTGTTGTGACCTTTTTAAATCTATACTTCACCAACAGCCAGTACTTCTTGTTCCTTAGCAGTCTTTTTTTTTTTTGTTGTTGACTGAATGGCCTATTTCATTATTCTCACATTGCTTATGACTCTTGACTGTTTCCTTTCTTCTTTGAAAGAAATACTACTATTGGCAGCTTTTACTACTTCTGGCAGCTTATACATATTATATCCATTCATACACATGTATGTGCATATATGGGTGAATAAGGATGAGATCATTCTTCAATCCTTTAGTACAGAAGCTTACTTTACTAGAAAAAAATCTGAAATATGTGTGGAAGTACTTGACTGGCATTTGACTTAATCAGTCCTATGACTGCGGGGGTTAATTGTCGTATGATTTTTCTGCCCCCATTTTTAGATGGAGTAAATTTTCTCTTCAAGGATGATTTATCATTCAAGAAATAGAACTTGAAGGATAAAATAACAGAGGTTATTTTACAAACTGAACAATACAGAAGAGTCTTAGTTAGCAAGAGGTATAAAAGTGCACGAAACTCTAGGGTCTGCATTATTTTGTATACATGACCTGTATTACCTTTTGTTCTGTGTAACTGTATACTAGCCTTGTACACCCATTTTTTGCATTAGTACAAACTATGATAAAATTTAGAACAGGAAAATCTTCCTTAGGCCTAATTTTAGTGCTGTGTACTCTGGTAAAATATAGTTAATGCTGATGTTGTACCTAGAATTTATTATGAGCCATATATATTGCTGACTAAAAGACAAATTATAACCTTAACTTCATATCAAGTTTTTAGATGAAAATACCATAAGTTGGTGAGGGCATGTAGGGGCTGGTAGATTAGATACTTGCTACTCAAAACAGCTACAAAATATACCATACAATTATCTTAGTAACATATTTTTTGCTGCTAATATTTGCTTTCCTAGTGACCACAAGGATGTTAATTTGGTCTTAGAAAAATCATAACAAGTACAAGGTAATTTACTGTACAGGGAGGTATTTTACTGTATAATACTGAGGTGTTATGGATATATAGTCACCTGGAATAAGATGAGAATAAAGTTTACTTGAAGGTGATACAAAACATTTCCAATACTGTAGTGTTTAATCTGAGTTAGGCTATTATAGAAAATATGATTAGAATTTGTTTTTTGTTTACTAGCACTGGCTCACAGAACTGGAAATTTTAGCAATGATCTTTGCAGCTGCTGTCCATGATTATGAACATACTGGGACCACAAACAATTTTCATATTCAGACAAGGTAAGTGAAGTGGTCTCTTAAGTATGATATCTGGAGTTTGCTGTTCATTGGTCTGAACCATTTCATGCCTCTTAACTGAAACAGCCAGGAAGTAGCCAGGTCATTCCTGATTTTACAAGTTGTTTCCTTGGCCTTTGTACAGTTAATGGGACTGCTCACATGAACAAACATAGTGTGGAAAAGTAAGGAGTTAGTGTTTGAAATCATTATAGTTTGGAGCTGATAGGTCAGGGTTAAATCCGTAACATACTTATCCCCTGAGATGTGCCCTTCAATAACGAACAAATCTAGATCTGCAGCTGAAATAAAGACATAATTCTTTTCTCCCTCAGCATAGTCTGGCTAAAAATAAACTTCATTTTGTAGTTCCAAATTTATATTACTTTTCTAGTTTTGTCATTCATGTTTTGCTCTGCAAAAGTGGAAAATTAATGTTAGCCTTTGAATTTTTCTTGGGCATACTTGCAAACAGGTATTTGTTTTGTGATGAGGCTCATTCTTCCCTCCTAGTGGAACTTGGTCCTGATGTGGCATGCCAGGGCCATGAATCCAGGCTTCTTTTACCTGAGAAAAGCTGATTAAATGGCTGTCATAGTCATAGCAGACCTTAGAGCTGTTTAAAATAGCCGTAAATAGCTGTGAGGATCAAAGTGTGCTTCATAAATATACGTGATTGGCAAATCACAGATTTTCTCATGATTTTAATGGGATTATGGATGTAAATGTGTTTAGGTAGGTTATGGTTTGTTCCCTCTAAATAAAATTTCCAATCCTGTTTTCCTTTTTTACATTCGTTGGTACCATATCATATATGTGGGTGGTTACACTCAGTATATACAATTGCTCAACAGAACAAGATGTTGAATTTACCTTATTAATATCATAGTAAACTGTGCTGCTAAATCATCACACCTTTCTTCTAGTACATACTTTTCAGCTGACCAAACTGAAATGCTCATGAATAGTTTTATCAGAACGTAAGTGTAGCAGAGAGGGGAGACCCAAGGTTGTTTAGCAAGTAAGATCAGGTCTTGAGGAAACAAATTTGCCAAGAATTAATGATGTTTGAAGTTAACTATGATAAATCCATACTGCTTCAAAATTTGTAAAGATCTGTATGTATTTTTGGTATTGTAGGTTAGACTTTAATTAAGAGGGAAAGGATACTGTTTTTTGTCAAATATAAATGAAACATTGTTATATAAATGTTATATAAATAAAACACTGTGCGTTTAAAACCATGACTTTCCCACAAACAGTACATAGAATGGTATAATATTTTTTTATGCACTTAGAATAGAAACTTTATCAGTATTTGTTACAATAAGAACAAATAAATATAGTTTGATACATGTATTCAATAGTTCTTATAGAGAATACACAGTCCTGCCTTCCCCAAGGCTGTCATCAGGATGCTACTGCAAATTTTGCCTTTATTTTAACACCAGGTCAGATGTTGCAATATTGTACAATGATCGTTCTGTTCTTGAAAATCATCATGTAAGTGCTGCTTATAGACTCATGCAAGAAGAAGAGATGAACATCCTGACAAATTTAACCAAAGATGACTGGAGGTAAGATCTACTGTGACATTCAGACTTAATTCCAGTATTTAAACATAATAAAAAGAAACAGGCCTTCCCTGTGGAGTCTGGTATAGGAGCTCAGATTACAGGAAGAAACTTTGGCACTGGAAAGTGTAATGGATATTTAGAGCTTAGGAAAGACACTGTGGTGTAAAAAAGTACTGTTTTGGAGGTACTGTATTAAGTCCAAGTGAGGTTGTGCATTTATGAGGAACAATTTGCATGGACAGTGTCAGGTGAGATATCCCTTCAGGAAAATCACTGTCTTCCCCTTCTTGAGCTAGGTTACTGCTGTCTAACAGTGGTTTAAAACCTCAGTGCAGAGTCACTCTGCTGCCAGCTTGAGCACGAATGCCTCTGGGATTTCTCCTGCGTAACAGCACAGCAGTCACATCATGCTTAAGCATTAAAAACTATTAATTGGAGAGTAAAATATAATGAATTAAAGGCCCAGGAGAAATATGTTTTTTTTTTTCTTCTCCTTCTTAGTTGTAGTGTGACTCCTGAATAAAATTTGACCAGCTGAAAGTATCGGGATCATAATTGATATGTCACAAATACCAAGACCTGTAAGACCAAAACGAACAAATGTTAGAGATAAGACTTTCTCCATTATTAAAAAGTACATCTTATCTTTGTATATTTTTAATGACTCCATGTAACACTTAAAATATATCTTCTCTGTGTTATTGTAAACACAGGTATTATTCAGAGATCCTAAAAATAAATAAGTGGCCTGTAAATTCAGAGAGGGATGTTCGACTTCCAGGAAAGTCTCCTACTGTGAATGATGCCACCATGAATAATAAAGCTATTTATATATATATATAAGTACATATTTAAATATATATTTTATATATGAATCATAGAACCATAGAATAGTTAGGGTTGGAAAGGACCTTAAGATCATCAAGTTCCAACCCACCTGCCATGAGCAGGGACACCTCCCACTAAACCATGCCACGCAAGGCTCTGTCCAACCTGGTCTTGACCACTGATTTATTTATAGTTTCACAAAACTATACTATTATGAAGGAATATGTGAATGTGACAACAGATTTTGGTGGTGTGTGTATTTGCAGATGAACTGTTACATATGCTAGATTTATGTGATTTTACTTATGTACATGATCAGAACCCCCCTAAATAAAGTCTATTGGTGTGTGACAGCCCTTTTGGTTTTCAATTTATTTATTTTTTTTTCTGTAGCTACTCCAAAACACTTAAAATATTTTTATTTTTTTTATTGAATACAAAGTGAGAGGGTCCAGTTATGGACCCTTTGCTCAATTTTTCTTGCATTTTTCTCCATGGTTTTTGAACTGGTGATAAACTACCGCATGCTTTCAGAAGCTGCTCAATCATATACAGTGTGTTTGTGCTTGCTTTTCAGTCTCCTCTCACTGTAATCCAATTAGGATTTCCTCCAGCATCTTATTTTAGCTTGCAATTATTTTTTTTTGTAGAGTGGCTGCATAGATGCAGTCCACTGTTATATGCAGCCAGTTTGAGGTTGGTATATTTGGCAATCAGAGAAAGTAATTTATTGTCTCTTGTTGGGGCTATTCAGTAAAATTTAGAAGAGATGTATGAACTGACAAATAAGATCAAGCAACTAAATTAGGACACTCAGTTCCATATTTTGTCTCTTAGCTAGGCAATTGCACAGTTCCATATTTTGTCTCTTAGCTAGGCAATTGCAGTCTGTACTTTCAAACAAACCAGTAAATTCCAAAGTGCCTGTCTGAGAACCTGCATAACCTGTTGAAGTTTGAGACTTTAATTTAGAGGGTTGGTTGTGGAAATGATGGTTTTCTGGTATTTGTTTTTAATATCCAAAAATCCCTGTTACCCTGTAATCAGACACAGTTGTTAATTGGTGCAGTGACAGATCTGTTAGCCACTTAAAAGAAGCTCTTCAATTTTCTAATTATTACTACAGCTAACTTTTGGGTCTATACTGAAAATCATGCTGTTAAACTAACAGTTTTGAAGTTTGCACTAAATCAAATTGGCAGTAAATGGAAATGATAATGCATTCAACTTTTTAATGTACTTCCTGGCACTGATTAATTTCTTGACTACTGTCAGATCTGTTTTCTTGAGTTGCAGCAATTTCTTTTTCTAAAAATTTAACACCACTACCTATTTAAACTGTGGTTCTGCTAATTATTTCAGCAAGATGAAGCAAAATGACTGAGAACGGCTTTATAGTATTACATTTTCTTTTCTACATGTTAACGTTAAGAAGATAAATGCACTAATAAACTGTCAGCTTCAATTAAGCTTATAACGTAGGGTTTGGGTCTGAGGAGGAAAGTACTGCCAACATTCTGATGATGAGGTCCTTTGTGGATAATGCATATGACATTCATAGTCAGTTCTCACTCTTTTTCTCAACTCTGAAAATATATTCCAGTTTTTCATATTGTCTTGTCTCCCTCACATAGTGCCCCTAAATAACTAAAGGGGAATCCGTTTTGTTCCCCTTTCTCCTTTGATTTACCAGGTTTCTGGTGTTCTAGCAGCCTATGTGTTACATCAACAGATGGTCAGATGGTATTATCGCCTCAAATCATTCCAGTCATATGTCAGACTGATTATTGATATATGATATATTGCCTGATGATATTAAAACAGACTCATAAACATGCTTTATATACAGTGCGTAATGAACAGCTTTTCTTTCACAAATTCCCTTGGGATTCTTCTGTTTGAGGAAAGCAGGATCACAACAACTTGCAAGATGAACCTTAAGTCTTCAGTTCTCAACTTGCTTTTGCTCATCTGATCCTGTTCCTGCATTTTTTTTCCACATTAATTTCCAACAGACTAAATGTCTTTGACATTGACAAATCCAGGTAAAGCTAGTTTCTGTTTATTGCTTACCTGCTTTTCCAGGAAATTCAAGAGCCACTCCTTGTCTCTTGTTTATTACAGCATTATTCATGTAATTTTTTCACATCATCTTGTATCTATTTTTTTATATTATGTATTTTTTATATCCATATCCTATCCATAGGACAGATGGATATAGGAGGGTTAAGAAAGGATAATAGTACAGGGTATGACTGTTTACTTATGAAAAAAGGAGATTGAATACTCAAAAACGGTTAGCTTCCAACTGTGGGCCCCCTAAAACCACTATACACTGTATGTGTATACAGTTACAGTTACCACATCCCATCATAGAACTAAAGATGACAAGACCTGTATATCTCTTTGCTGCAGTAGCATAAGCAGTGCTAACTATATTATCTCAATGCATATAGCTGCGTACTGCTTAATGAAATGAGCAGAGATTTCTGTCCAGGAGTTACCTATGAGACCAGCTGAGGTCTCCTTCAATATCAAATCTGAGATGGTCTTTTTTTCCCTTGGAAACAATTTGGGAATGGTTTAAGTCCAAGAGTAATCTTCTATGAAATGGTAGTAGACTGAGCATTCGTAGCTCTAGTAAAGCTACAAATATAACATTTCCCTGTCAGTTCTCAATTTTCCATCACTCTGTTGATGATGGATGGGAGTGCTGACAGGAAAAAACTGCAGACTGTAGGTGGGGAGCCTCTCCTTACCTCTTAAGCAGCCTTTTTTATTGGCCTGAACTCTTCAGAAGTGTGTGAGGAGAACAGTGTTACATTATTTGATCCTTATTCAGGTGATGGAGGTAAGAATTAGAGTTTGTCTGCTGCTGCAACACTATGAATAAACTGAAAGCAGTGTGTAGCTTCTCTGTGTGTCTTGTGAACTTATTTCTCATTACTCTTAAAAGTTCAGACATGGAAAGTTCCTAGGAAAATCTCCCATAGAATGGGGAAGTGATAGTTATTTCAGTCTTAACAAACAACGAGGTTTAGCAGTGCAGAGGTCTCAGTGTCCATGCAGTCTTAGCTGTTTGTTCCCTTTTTTTTTTTGCTTTTTTTTCTTTATTAAATGGGTTTGCTGTGTTTGAACGGTACAGTTTCAAAGCACTGTGGAGGAGGAACAGTTGGGATGCAGATTAATTAGTATCTTATTATGAGGTCAGATAAGGTAAGGCATTTTCTAAACACAGGTTGCTATGGCTGCATATTATTGAGTAGAAATGAGAGGATTGAGTCTTTACCCAGTTATATCAAAGCAAATCAGGGCTAAATACACAGAAATCAATGAGGAGTACCAGGTCAACAACAGTCTTAATAGTTTTTAAAATAAACGATTCTAACAGCCCTGAAGAAAACTGCAATTTACCTCTTTAAAACAGTCCTTTCAAGAAACATATTTGTTAGGTAAATTCAAGACATGAAACAATCTGAAAGGTCAGTGAGAATGACCAAAGCAGGATTCTAATGTTATAAGTGATACTTGGACATTCTTAAGGTTGGGATTGTGCTCATGAAGGTATATGCTACATAATAAAAGACTTAATGTGATGAATTGTCCACAGGATACATGTAAGCAACACTTGCTCATAAATCCTCCTAGGCCATGTATAAAAACATGTAAATAAAGACCCAGCAGACTCCGACATGGTCTATATACAGCCCTCCTACATTAAGGGAAGAATTCCCAGATCAGGAATTACTGTTGACAAAAGTCAATGTACATTCATACGCTATCAGAATTAATGCACTTTCTTACATGATTCATGTTTTACTATTTCATATTCATTTAATAGAAAGCTGATGGGCAAGCCAGCATCTCTGATCACAATACCAAGATATAGATAAATTATAAATCCCAAGATTGTTTTGATTTATGAAATAAGCATAAGGTATTTTTGACATGAAGGGTAGTTTGTCATAATGTTCATGTATTGGTGTATTGGTGTATTGTTGATAAGGGTTTCAGGTGTCATACCTCTTGTTCTTCTGAGTTTTCCATAGCCTTCTTCACAGGTTTAGCATTATGCCTGCTCTGCACTAATATAAGGGCAGTAATAAAAGACACAAATATACCCTCTTGTATGGTGGTAAAACCAACTGGTTTTTTGAATATTGCTGGAAAAATAAGGAAAGACTTATAATGGATGACAGACCTGCATGTGATTTTAGTTTATACACTAGAAAAGAGGAATTACAAAACAGCGTGACTCTGAAATAATTAATGCAAAGTGCATTTTCTGAAGTACATTGGTTTTGCAGAATCGTTTTAGGATACAACGTTTAAGTTGTTAATGATTTATTTAAATGTTTTTTAAAATGTAATAAACCCTGTGATGTTGTTAAAAAAAGTTATAAATTAACAAGTACTGCTTACACAAATGTACCGTACATAGAATAAATTAAATGTAATCGGTCATTTTGCTTTTAATTATTCATAGGGAATTGCGTAGCTTGGTCATTGAGATGGTCTTGTCTACAGATATGTCAGGTCATTTTCAACAAATTAAGACGATGCGACATACTCTCCAGCAGACAGAGGGGTAGGTTATTTTCCATTCTGTTCCTTATCTATAGTTTTTCAATGAGCTCATGTACAAGAGAAGAATTTAAATAGTTGCTTTTGTTTTGAGATAATTGGAGCATGTCCTTGAATTGACAGGGTAGACAAAGCCAAAGCCATGTCTTTGATTCTACATGCAGCAGACATAAGCCATCCAGCAAAATCCTGGGAACTGCACTACCGGTGGACCATGGCCCTGATGGAAGAATTTTTTCGACAGGTGCCATTTTTAAAATCCTTTAATAAGTCTAGTTCAAGAAGCAATGGTTACACAAGTAAATCTTTTTGTAAGTCTACCAGCAAGAATGCTGTTGGTTGTGATTGACAAGCATAGTCGGTAGTATATATTCTATACTCTTCACACATGCCACTGACATTAATTCAATTGATATGTGCATGAATAAGATTAAATTGTTACGGTTCTGTATCTATTTCAGCTGATACCAGGATTCTGAGTTGTAGCAGGGTTTTTTTCTTTCAGTTATAATATAACTTGTCAAGCTGTTTTCATTCTGTAGAGAGAGATTTATATATGCTTTGAGTTAAAAAAGAAGCACTAGCAGGGTATGATGAGGGGCTTGAAAATAGGAAGAATTCATTTTCAGCAAAGAAGGAAAAAAGTTGTCTCCATTTCATATTTCAGAAAGCCCTCCTATTTCTTTTCCTTGACAGTACTTGCCCATGCATATGCCACATAGATCTGAAGATTTTGCTTTCATAACAGCCTAATCGAAAGCCAGAGCGTAGACAGCATCATCCTGTTAATATTGTGCCCATACATCCTAAAACAAAAAAGAAGACACACCTTTGTGAAAGTCTTAATTTCTGTGAGATACTGAATTCAAAGAGAAAGCCCAGTAGGTGTTGGTGTCACTGTTGCCATTTTTTTACTCACCTCAGCAGGTGAAAGAACCCACATCTCTCCAAAGCAATACTCTCCCAGTAATGAATATTTGTGCCCATGCACATTTTGAACATAACAGTTACTGAATATAATTAATAATCCAAATCCAGTTTGTTACCCAGTTTCTACAGTTAAAAATGGTTTAAAAATTGGTCAATACAGATAACGGAACAGTGTATGTCTTGCTCAGGTTCATTGTATTTTGCTTTATGCTACCATTTTCAAATCAGATAGGAAAAAGGTGTCAGAAAATAAAAAAGTCAGTACGTCAGTATAAGGTTATTAGGCCCATCTGCCTGAGAAGGTTCTTGCTTGGTTCTTAGAGGTCCTTTATAAGAATTCTCAGCAGGGAGCATCAGGACAGCCTTGACTCCGGGCTTTGCACAGTGCCTTAGTGTAAATAATGAATGGACTGAGTTTTGTGGAAACACTGAGTAGAGTCATGAGTTTGTGTTTGCTTCTGTAGATGGAAATTCTGAGGATTTTGTACTTGAGAAGAAAAAGGAGGAGCAGATTACCACAGATATATATTACTTGAAAAGGTCAGGAATGACCAACTGTAAAAACATTTTAGACACAGAGAGACAGACTAGACAGCCCATGGGACAGTGAGGCAATGCGTCCAGTCTAGTGGATATAGCACTAGCAGTAAACAGTATCACACTGGTCATTGAGTGCATAGGATCAGCTAATGTTTTAGTTATTTCTTTATCCTTTCATTAGAAGTAACTGGATCCCAAATAAGCTGTGCAAACACTTGAGAAGGCATTTAACAATAGAATCAAATCACCATGTATGTATGTCTGCAGCTTAGCAATATGAAAGTCTTTCAGGCTGTAGAGGAGTGTGCAAGGAACTGAATCCCTCTTTATACATACTACTAAGAACAGTGTGTGTGGAGTAGTTCCAGCAAATGTAAAGTGCGATCAAGTAACAGTACATATATAAATGCACTGAGCAGTGCAGACACAGTAGGTCTCCTGCTTCCTGTATGTACTGGCTTGATTGTGCATCCTCTGGTCTGCTGATATAAGTGCATGGTGAAAAATCTCTGGGATTTCCAAATCTGTTTCAACCAAGATGAAGTACTCCAAATATATACAAAATCATAGAATCATAGAATAATTAGGGTTGGAAAGGACCTTAAGATCATCTAGTTCCAACCCCTCTGCCATGGGCAGGGACACCTCACATTAATTCCTCTTCTTTTCTTAAAAGATAGTAATTCAACTACTTCTACTGCTTTACAGGGAAAAGCATCAGAGTCTGAAACTGATGATGCGAAACCATTGCTTTAACAGGCAGCTTTCAAAGTAGTGTGCACCAACAAAAATGAACATTCACCTAGACAAAAAAACTTCAGGTAACAGTTGAAGCTAACAGTTAAAATGTGACAGTTGAAAAAAGCCAAACAATGCATTACGCTTAAAAGACACAACTACAGAAAGTGTGTTATAATGCCAAAAAAAAAAAAAAAAAAAGAGCTACTTGTTTAAAATAAAAATACACCCACCCATCTTGAAACCTTAAAATAAAGAAATACATAGTTCAGGACACTCAAAGAAGTATCTCAGCTCCTTTAACATTCTGCTGTCAGTGTGAATAGCTCCAAAAGCACAAAAAGAGAATTTGTCAAGATTGTTCAGCGCCTGGGAAAGTGTTGTTTTTTTTTTACTTACTGATTTTTATCTTTATTTTAAACTCATGAAATTTTCAGGATCAATTTAAATATCGGTGCTCTGTCCATTATTACAATTACTATAGACTTAGACTTATATGACATTTAAGTATTAATCATGTATTATATTAATTGCAAAGTAATTAATGATTGGGATAAAGAGTTGCTTGAAAACAGAAAAAAAAATCAAACTGATTCTTATGTTAAATTTTCTCTTTTTAAATACCTAGTTAAGGGAAGATCAGACAATTAATATTGCTTTAGAAATCCTGTATGTAACAATGGCTGAAATCATTAGAACTACCCCAGTTTATATTATATCACAGTCTGGCTCCTACATTTACATGGAGATGCCACTAGCACTGCTCCTAGTAGTAAGTATTCATGTGTTCATCTACACTCTGAAATCAAAGTATCAACACTTATGTGTAAAATTTAAAGGCCATAATGATAAAACTCTCCATTTCCACGTGAAACACAATCTGTGAGCTACATCTGTGCTTGTGGCTGAAGTGCATTTATTGGTATTACAGTTTTAAACTTTCCCCAAGTCTAGTTCAATGACACATGACAAAAAGGCTAAGGAATGTTGATACTGCCCCCTTCATGAATCAGCTTCTCATGAGATCTTTGGGAAAATGGTATATTCATGTACTGCTCCCCACTGAACAGTCATGTCTCCATGTCTGATGTAATATGGTGATTCATTTTACTTGAAAGACTAAGTTTTCCTATATCTGTAATGTCAGTGCTTCTGGGGACTAGGCTTCTCCAGCAACATAAATTATAGCTTCCTTTGAATGATGCCTCTTCAGGTTTTTTATAGAATCATAGAATAGTTTGGGTTGGAAGGAACTTCAAAGGTCAACTAGTCCAGCCCACCTGCAATCAGCAGCATTTGAGCCACTAGACTTTCTTTTTGAACTTTAGCAAGTCAGTTGCTGACTTGCATGTCTAACATACTGAAAATGGAGATAACACCCCCTCGTCTGTTATGACAAAACCTTCTTTTGATGTGTTAGGTGTGAAATATTCTCAGAAGTAGGTTGTACAAATCATCGTTGTAATGAAATTGAGCTTGTTCTTTTCTATGGCTTCAGCAGAAGCCATATGCCCATATGCCTGCTAGTGAGAATGAGTTCTAGTCAGGTTCATGCCCTTGTCCCATGTAAATCCATTGAAGTATGTGGTAAACCAACGTGACAGAAGGAAACATTTAGCATTTGGCCTACAGTTGCAAACATGTCTAAATCTCTCCAATCCCATTACATCTGGGGTCAGCAGCACTAACCTGTGAATACTGAAGGACTTCATATATGTTAAATCTCATCAGTAGGTGCCTTGTTCTGGAGGAGAACTTGCTTGCAATAAGTTCCTTTAGATAAAAGTTGCTGAATATAAGTTAGAGTTTGACTTTAACTTTTCCTGAAAATTTAAAGATAAAACATGAGGTTTGTGGCTTGCTTTTATTTAGGAATATAAGCGAACAAAGTAATCTGTTGAATAAATACTGGAATGTTCAGATTCCTTTGTCTCTCTGTCCCTCTGTCAAGTATGTGGTTGTAATATTAAATATTGTTGTTTGCAGGGAGACAAGGAGGCTGCTTTAGGTCTTCAATTTTCCCCGCTCTGTGACCGCAAGTCTACTTTGGTTGCTCAGTCCCAAATAGGTAATAACATGTCGTGTTTTTCTTTTTCTTGTTTGTGTAGGAGCATATAAAATCCTGTGGGCATTTCCTATACATCTGTGAATTGCAGATGTTCCAAATACCGTTACATAGAGGTATATCTTTGAAACTGTTTACCAAACTCATATGCTTTTACAGCAGAAATGTGCTGGTTTCAAAAGAACATGAAGTAATTTCAGCATGTGTGATGCCAAAGAAGGGTAAGAGAGGGATTAACCAAAGTACCGGATGTGAACCCAACATTTACTGTACACAATTTAGGGTTTGGTAGATCATGTCCTCAGAGAGTTTGACTCTTGCTCAAGAACTCACAGGTCTTTCTCTTCTCTTCTATAATCTGAAAGCTGGGTACTATTTTGTAGATGAATCTCAACTTAAAGCTAATTAATACATTAGATATCTGGACTGCAGTTAAGATTGTCAGTGTGGCAGGGTCAAGCCTTCTTGGACTGACAAGAACCACTGCATTCTGTTACTGTCAGTCCTAATTGCATTTTGGTCAAGAGTGGCCAAACTTCAGCTTCCCGTTTTCAGAAATGTGGTTCTTGGTTCTATCTCCTTTTCCATCAGCAATAATAAGAAAATAAAACTGGTAAAGATCATAAGGGCTCGTTACAAGGACCTACCCTAGAAGCATACTGGGTAAGGCAGTAGGTCCTACCAACAGCTGTACTTTTTACATGAGTGAACAGAGTATTTAGGAAGGTATTCTATAGGTGACAGTCTTACCCTTGAATTGAAGCATGTCATCGTGTCTGATCTTGTCACTCAAAATATCCTTTATTCCATTTCACTGGGACTTGAAAGGCAATGTGCTTGAGCCTCATATCATACCTATAGCGGGAGGGAAGCTGGATCCAAGGCTGACGCACTGTTGCTCACCTTTGTGCTATGTTGTATGGTTAGAGTATGAAGACATCTGGAAATCCATCGCTAGCTCGTGTTTTAGCTTTGCTTTTTTTTTTTTTTTCTGTTAAGTGCTCAGCAGAGAATAATGCTTCATTCTCTCACTGTGTCATTCCATACCTTGATGAGCACTTTAAAATGTAAAAGACATTGTTCGGAGCTGACATCTCAGAACTGTGGGATGAACGCTGTCTTCTAAGGATATTACTTGTTCTCTTCACTGATTTGACAGAACACTCCTACACACTGTGAAATAACACTTTACCTCCACAGAATAACAAACAGCAATTTGAAATATTAACTCCTTGGCAAGAAGCTCCGAATAGCAAAAGAGACAGTATGACTTCTAGCCCCCTGACTCAATGGTAGATTCCCTTCTATTCATTCCAAATGGTAGGTGTGTTCTGCAGTGCATAAAATTTACAAGAAAAAGGAATCAAAAGCTGTAATTATTAATATCTAGTTACATTTATACAGCTTCAAGTGCTTTGTTTTTACTTGTGCTTTTTTTCTTCAAGATTATACTGCTGGTATCTAGTATATTGAATCAGGACTACAGTCAGAAAATCAGCTTGATATCAAGGGTTTTTTTAGACTTGAGAGCTGTGGAAATGTAAAATCTGTTTTTCTCTCTTTATCTTCTTAGGTTTCATTGATTTCATAGTAGAACCAACATTTTCTCTTCTTACGGACTCAATGGAGAAAATTGTTATGCCTCTTATAGAGGAAGCATCAAAATCTGAAAGTCCTGCACTTGGGGCACCCAGGTATGACTGCTCTGCTTAATTACTGAATTAGCATAAATTAACATAATAATGTCATTCTCAGAATTATTGCAATTATTTTAGCAGTTGGAAAAGTAACTTAAATAGCTGTACGGTATTGCCACCATGTGGTTTCATGTTGTATTTGCAGTATGCTATTACTCCATTGACTGTGGACAGTTGTGCATATATAAAAGCAAAAGCACAATAATGAGCAGAATACACGTGTAAAATATAAAGCTGATTTTCTACAGCATATCTAATAACAATTTTTTTCCTTTCACTATAAGCTTTGCAGTAAATTATTGGAGTTCCTGGTTCTCTTATCTTGATCCATTTTCAGTATCATTTTAATTGACAGTACCAAAAGTCACTCTTTCTCAGGGACATTTGGAAGTGGAGGTGGTGAAGGTGGTTTCAGGGTATTTTTTTCCTGTTTCTTACGATGCTGTAGGTCACTTTTCTTCTTCACCTTTCCATACTAGTATTATTTGATATATACCCTTGAGACAAAATGGATTCCACTTATAGTCCACTTGAGAGATCTAAATACAGTATAAGTGAGATGTCGCAGGGGGTGGGGTTGCCCATCAAGCTGTTAATTTTTGCATCATTATAGAAGTTATCTGTAAAACAAACTTGCTGTGACAGACACTGTTATCTGAGTGACTCCATATTGAAAGCATTGTTCAGTAATCAGATGCTGCTCTTACAAATAGTGCCTTTTACCACATTTTTTTCATTTTAAAACTGTAATTCGAGCTTTCAGAGACTACTCATATGACAACTGCTCAGGGCAGTTTTACACTTGCTGTGCATTAGTTAGAATTTAACTGTAAAATGATGAACCTAACTTTTCTGATCATGAGTTTACATGCATTTTGGTTACTAGAAGTAAGTAGAAGTTACTAGAAATAGGTATTTATGACAGGGTTCTTAGTGGTTTGGAGGACAGTGCTAAGCTAAGGCTTTGCTAACAAATTTGTTTACCTACTCTCTTCTTCACAAATTAGTTATTAGCAGCTGCAAATGATTAATAGCTCCAGGCTTCATTTTCAGTTGATCTTCCTGACTCAGAGGTAGATGAACAAAGTCTTATGATCCAGCAAAGCCTCCTCAAGTGAGGTTCAGGATAAAGCAATTACTTTCAGATGTCTTTAATGTGAGCTCCAAATATACCATTCACTGTTCAGAAACACAGCTAAGAAGCTAAATAGCTATATAAACATTCTTTCAAGAAACAACTTACAAGTATTTTCAGCTATTGCATTTGTTTCAAGAATTCCCTGGAAAAAAGTTGGTAAGAATCGGTACCGGGTTACAGCTTCATGAGTTGAAGAAATACCTTGTATCTCAGCCACTCTTTGGTGAAAACTATTATTTCAAATTACTGATTGCATGTAGGTCCTAGGGAGTTTTTTTCAAATTAGCTGTTTGTATACTATTAAAGTTACCTGACAGTGTTAATAATTTAGGGGTTTTTCCCTTCTGCAGCCAAAATATTTTGGGAGCAGTAAGCAATGCTGAAGCACAAAGACGACCCGGTTTTAAAAGTACAAGTGATGGAGGGACTCACACAGAAAATTCTCTAGCAACTGTAGATCTAACAAGCTTTAAGGCCAACTTGATGAAGATCATACAAGCAAACAAAGAAAGATGGAAAGAATTAGCAGTAGAAGGTATGATATACTAAGGTGGAAAGTTTTCATAGGTTACTCCCTAACCTTCCATTAATTTCATTTTTTAATTTCCTTCAATCTATAAAAATACATAGTTGTCTTGTATTCATATCTTTTATGTCTTTATTGTTTAGATGGTCCTGTTTTATTCTCCCAGGGGTATAAAGAGATGTAGGTGGTCAGGTGATGAGAGGAAATCTTATGCCCTGTACAATAAGCCTCTGTGTTGCTCAGCTTATCTTTAGTGGTCTGATTTAGAAATGTGCATTCTTGCACATGTAATCATAACTGATACTGACATCTGCTTTAAATGCCAAAATCAACAATTCAAAGTATTATGTTCTGCCACATTTCTTAAGAAATGTGAAAGTTGTACTTTGCTTTTAGAAATGCTATCTGTTCCCCACTGTATGGAACAAAATCCAGTATTGCATGCTTCTTGAGACTATGCTGCAGGCAGTTATTTAAATGACCCAGTGGATCTAAAAATTTGGGTATTCACAGCATGTATTAGACCCAAACAAGGCAAAAAGTGCTTCTTCATTTGCTGGTTGATAGTTAACGCAAACTTGCATCAAGCATCTTACTTCATAAGCCACACCTGAAAATTTTCTGGAGTTAGTTTTCTGATAATTTCATGATAATTGTTGAAAGCAGTTTATAGCCTTGATCCATGTTAAGTGAATGCCATTTGAGAATATTTCGTCCACAGTCTGTGTTGCTTCCAGGTAAGCACCTAGGATATTTCAGTAGTGTTTCACTGTTGTGGCTGGTCTTGCTGTACATGATCTTATAATGACTGCAGGAAATGGTATCCTGGAACCCAGGGCCAGCCCTGTCATCCAAAGCAGCATTGTTTTCCTCAAAGAGGTGTCAGACAAGACAGAAAAACACTGCTGAGCTGTGCTAAATTCTAATTTAGTGCTAAATTGCAAATGCATATCCTTGTTAGGAGAACAGTAAGTAAAAACAAGCTTCAATACATCTATTATGAGAATGATTTGACTGTTGGGTAGAAGGGAAAGCTGAGGAGATTTAACTAATATTGTCTCTTCATGAGCAACTTTACATGATTGTTTGCCTCTTTTGGTATTGTTCAACTAATACTGACTGGTCAAAAAGACAAAGCTGCTAATTGGAGATTACTGGTATTAATAGCAGACATTGGGTGCCAAAGACCACTTAGCTACAGTCTGCAGAAATCAAGCATCCCTAGGCTATCTACATGTAAGGTAATTCAATATGGAAAAATTGAGAACTTGTTATCTGGAAGTCTGCCATTTCCAGTTACATATAACTAACTTGTTTGATTTTGGTACATCAACTTTTTGGTATATTGTTTTGGAGTACAGTGCTATCAAAGAGATAATTTCTCAGTTGCAGTGCTCTGTAAATTACTGATACATATAGACCAGTTTTACTGGGCTGTTGACAGCCTTTGAAAACACAAAGCTTCACACATCAAGAGATACAAGAATTCTTCTGGGTAAATGATTGTTTCTCTATACAGTCAATATTAATGTGAGGACCAGAAAGATCCAGGAAACTCCGGGCAAGCTTTCTGCTTTGAAAAACAGAGCTGATAATGTTCAAGACTCTATGAACTTTGTTGAGATTGTTGTTGTCCATAATCTAGGATGCCCTTCTTTTCTTCCATCAACTTGGCTAATAAAATGTGTCTAAGTATTTCCTGAACAGAGTTATGGGATTATTGTAGAATGTACATTAGGAAAATAGCTGGGTAAGTGAAAATAGCTGTTTGAGGCAAGAGCTTGATGAACAGTATCAGCTTTGTGTCATTATGTTTAAATCTGTTTTGCAAACCCTCTGCGAGAGCACGAAAGAGATTTATAGAAAGTTGTGCCCATAAAAAGACTACTTGCAGCAACATCTGCAGTTGACGAGCATGACATGGAGACCTTCAAGGTGCCTGATCAGAGGAACCCTGTGAATATTGAACATTCTTTTGAGTACAGATTTCTGTTTTGGTAGTACAGAGATAGTAAGTTGCTGGGTTTTGGTTTGGGTTTTTTTGGGGGGGTGTGGGGGAGGCAGATATTACATAGATTTTGTGAAAGTTAAAATATTTCACATGAAATATGTGGGTACTTAGTCCATATGTGGGCACTAAGGGCTGCTGGAAAAGAGGTTTCCACTAAGTGAACATAGTCCTATATAGAGCACTGGGGTAGCAGAAGTTGCTTTTCACATAATGGAAGAAGGAGTCTTCCCCAAGTGGTCCAAATCAACCATATATCTGCTCTCAAGTTGCACCCTGCAAATGTTGAAAATCCTTAATCAGACTGTGCAAAATTAACATCTAGTAAGTAATGAAAAATACTGAAATATATTCCCTTTCCACTTGGAATTTGCTTCAGTTTGCCCTTAAGTTTTACTAAGCTTGCAAGTGAATAACCTGAGACCTTGAACTTCAGATTATTTTTTCCATCCTATCTGCATCTCATGTTACCTTGTCTAACTCTATTGCTTGATGAAAAGTCTTTAGGTCGCTCTAGGTATATGCATGTAGTTTTGTTTTATTTATATGTTAGCAGGAGCGCATCATCATCATCATGGCTTGACTTCCGAATGAAGATTTGGGAAGGGCTTTACCCACGCTTACTACAAGCGTGCTGATGACTAAAAAGGCCAATGTGAGATAGGCAAATCCAGCTGCAAAAGGCACAGTGAAAGGTCTCCTCGGGTGGTATAGGCGGGGCGCGATTCTTTCTATGTTGTCTTTTCTCCCCGAGACTAGTACTGGGTGAGTTCTCAAAGGAGTCAACGGCATTATGTATGGTGTGTCTCCAAGTCTCCTGATTCAAGGCCAAGGTGGACCACTGATGGTAGTCAATATGGCCAAGGCTAAGGTATTGTTCGGGGAGTCCTTGTATCTCTTCTTTGGGGCACTTCTCTTGTGGCTACCGGTGGCAAGTTCACCGTAAAACACGATCTTAGGGAGGCGGTGACCCTTCATCCTAGAGACGCGCCCTGCCCAGCGCAGCTGCAATTCCAGCAATGTGGCCTCAATACTGGTGACCCCTGCCTGTTCGAGGACAGTAACATTTGACACAGTCCAGTGGATGTTTAGAATGGTACGGAGACAGCACTGATGAAAGTGTTCGAGGAGTCACAGGTGATGATGGTAGATGACCCATGATTCAGACCCATATAAAAGAGTATACAGAACAATGGCTCTATAGACACTGATCTTTGTATCTTTCTTCAGGTGTTTATTGCACCAGACTCTTTTATGGACTTTTCTGAAGGCTCTATATGCCTTTGCTATTCTGTTGTCTATCTCTTTGTCGATTGTAGCATCTGAGGAAATGCTTCCCTGATAGCTGAGCTGCTGAACTGACTTAAGCTCTGACTCACCAATGGTAATGTGGGGATGATGGTGATCTTCTTGTGGTGCAGGTTGGTAGAGAACGACTGTCTTCTTCAAGCTGACTTCCAGCCCCAAAAACTCAGCCACCTCCACAAAGCAAGATACTAAATGCTGCAGAGCTGCTTCTGTGTGGGCAACAAGGGCGGCATCATCAGCAAAAAGCAGTTCACGGACAAGATGATTCAACTGAAGGGTCAGGAGCACATAGTGGGGCAAGAAATATCAGGGGTAAATCACTGCCAGGTGAAAGGACTGTTGTTATTGCTGTCATTGTTCCTAGCTAGATAATTTGCAACAGGGATAACTTGCAACAAGCTGCAAAGAGCTGAGCACACTGACAAAGTTATGTGTGTGAGGACAGCGTGCCATAGTAGTAAGTAAACTGACTGTTAGTGTAGACCTCCAAACATACTTCCTGATCTAACTATGATAAACAGTACTTGTGCTGTTAACAATCTGCATTCTTGGCAGTGGGCTCTGCAAACATTGTTCCCAGATTAGTTAACAGGCTCAGGAACAGTTGTCTCTATAAAATGTATATACATAAATAATATAAAAAGGAAACTAGCAACGATCCATTTAATTTGCTAGTCACGATTCAAACTCCTTCCAGCTTCTCACCTCTTCAGGATAAGGCTACTCATGTAGCACTGGTTGGCAGGCAGGGCTGGAGAAGATGATCTGATTCCTATGCCCAGAGAGTCCAGAGCAAGAAAACCAAGACACACTGACAGTGTTGTTGACAGGGCGGCTTTCTTGGAAATGCTGGTGGTACCCCTCCCTGGAAAGATTGTTGAGATTTGGTTCAGAGCAAGCAGCTTGTGCAAGGAACAGTGTGCTTTGTTTTGGAAAGGCCTGTGTTAGTAAGGAAAGCATTTATCTACCTAGGCAGCTTCCTTAACAGAAGGCTCACTAAATAAAATGGCTTCATTTTGCTAAAAAGTCCATGTCTTGTGTAATTGATGCAGAGGAGCTCAGTGCTCTATAGCCTAAGGGTTCTCAACCTTTCACCACTGGAGAATTAGAGGAATGTTTCTCAGGCCTTTCAGGGAATGCTGTTAACAGGGAATTACCATAATGATCAAACATCTGGGATTCTGATTTGAAAGCCTTGATGTTTAATTAATATTCCAAACCCCTAATCACCAGATAATCTGTCTTTGTTCAACTCAACACACAAGACACACTTCCATCCTGTGCTGCTGGTATTTGCAATTGTGCTAGTTGTAGCAAATAGACAGTAAAGATACTCAGATAAGTCTGAGAGGTTCTTCCACTAGAGAAAAACGTTTGCTAAATGGATTTTAAGGTCTGGAAATTATTGACCTACGGAGAAAGCTGTAAGAAACACACAGTTTGTTGGGAAAGATTTAAATATCAAATGAGATCCTTCATGGTCCAATTCTTAGAGCACAGAGACATTGAAACACAGTGATTAATATTTTAAAAACACAATGTTTATTTCTTATGCCTACCATGTGTATTCCATCATGCTTATTTTGTTGTATAAAAATGTTCTAAAGTTTCACTAATCAAGTTGCTAGTGGTTGGCAAGCTCAGAGCAAAAGGGTATGGACTAGTAATCATGCTTACCCTCTATTCAGTAGAT